ATTGACACGTAGTGCCGACAGCCGCTGGAGAAAGGACACCTATCCATGGGTATAATTATTAATTATATAAAATGTCAGCGCTACTAGCTTATAAATGCCTCGAAAATTATAAAGATGTAAAATTTCATTCTAAAGAGATACGTCAAATGCTCCTGATAGGTGCTAATTCGAGTGTGAAAAAATATTAGAAGACAAATTCATCAAGGTATAAATTTTAAAAGTCGGATAGGCAATGTGAAACATGTAAAACATACTGAAAACAGAACGATGATGTTTTTGTGCACAGTGAAAATAAAAAATATTAACTCGAACGGGAGGCGCCATCATTGTTTACATGACGTCACTTCCGTGACGTCACCTCCTGGAGCCGCCATCTTGGCCGGTACACGCGGGCTTTGGGGCTTTTTACGCTAATCTCGAGAGACTGGGGTCGCTCACGCCATAAATAACCCCGCCAACACATAAACAGCCATGGACCCGAAAAAACAGCAGCTTCCGCCGAAGGAAAACTCCCTATTTAAGCGTATTCTGGTGAGTGACGAGGCGCATGGCCGAGGCGCCTCTCGTCTGCACGAAAACAAATCTTATTTTTCGCCTTGAGGCCAAGGCCTTGGAGGGCCAGGCGTCAGGGACCCAGGGGCGGCACGGGCGGGACTCCAGGCGCCCACGGGAGGCCGCCCGCGCCGTTGCAGGACCGGGGAGGGCGGGCGAGCGGGAGGACGAGCAGGCCAGAGGAGGCTTGGAGGCCAGGCTCGGGCCTCGAGGCCGCTCGGAGGCTGGTCCTCGGGGGGCGGGGGAGGCGGGCCTGGAGAGCCTGGCCTGGTCGCGAGAGGGCCTCTGAGGTGCCATGGGCAGGGGGAGGCGGCATGGCACTGGGCCCACATGTTCCCATTTTTAGGGGGAATTCTTAAAATCCAGGCAAAGGTTTTTCTCTTTAGAAAAAAAAACATTCACATGTTTTCAGGGAAAAAACAGTGGTGTCAATGCTTGTAATTATGAGATTAGTAGCAATTCTTATCTTTGAAATTGTGTGAATCCTCGAATGTGTTGCGAACGGTATTCCAAAGTTCAGAAAATGAGAACGTTTACTTTTTCCTGCGATTTGTGGAGTGAGAAGTGCACAAGGTGGATATTGTTCATATTTGCTCACTGTCCTCGTATTTGGAATAGTCATATGAAAGGTTGTGGACGAAAGGCAAATGTATGGGATGACCCCCAGTGAAAGTGTAAACAGTGAGTGGAATGACGGAAGGTAAAGTACGCACTGAGAAAACATACTTGGTCTATGTTTGGAGAGGGTCCTTGTCATGTTGCTAACAATTTGGCGTGGATACCGTAGTTAAATATATAGTTTAACAAATTATATTAGTTGAATAAGGTGCGAAGTGCATTTGTAGTAGAGAATTTGCCATAATATCACTTTTAAATATTGCTAAAGGGTTACATTTCGGTTGTAGCTTGTTTCCTTGTCAACAATATTGAAATATTTCGTTGTAGACTTTACATTTTCATAACTGTCCATTACTTAGTCACAGTCATTGTGTACCAAGTGACTTCACCCCTCTGAGACTAAGGGTCATGCTGATTACAGCCTGGTGCTAATGGGTCTACTGCCCGGTAGCTGTGAATACATTATTTATATCTTTTTTTTTATAGGTTTCATGTTTTCAATCTCTTCATATAAGTATTTTCAGCTCATTTGATGGTTGATTAGATGAGATTTTGACATGCCTGATTAATGGTGATAACAATACCGCTACAGGTATCCGGCTGCCATCTTTTGTTTGCAGTGGGTTTATGTAAAACAGGCGCTTTGTCATGCATGGAAGGAATTTGCGTCAAACCCGTCACGTACAACACATGGTGGTGCAATACCTGTGGTAGTATAGCCATAAATTGGCAGGTCTAAATCACATTTGATCAAACATAATGTAACCTGAAATTCCATATAAGAATAGATTACCTTGAAAATATGAAATCGATAAAACAAAACAAAACAAAAAACAAACAAAAAAAAAGAAAGAAAGACACATTGCGTTTATAGGTACCAGGCAGTAATTAGTACGACTAGAGACCAGCGGCTGGTTTGTTAAAATTGCGAGACCCGATGCAATAAATAATCATTAAATGAACTTTTACATATACAGAAAGAAATACATATCAGTCAGTCTAGACATGCATACCTACTGGACAGATTATTAGATAAGTGTATATTTATCAGATATATAAACAGATATGCATTTATTTTGATGTTTTTGCATGTCCATATGTACGAATATTAATTTGGTTGAGCCTTGCACAATTGCACAATCTTTACAACTCCAGTCAACCTTAGAATCACTCCTGGGAAGTGACGAACATTGCTGTACAAACCGAAAGCCTTCCTAACCCAGTCGCCTTGTTCCCCATCTGGGTCCTGTTCCCATGAACCTCGACCCATTCATGATGGACCATGTAGCATTTGTTGCAGCCTATTTTCTTTGTTACTGACATTGTTTATGGTCTGCACAGGGGTTTTCATATATTAGTGAGTGCAGTGTTTTCTTTCATTCATTCTTTTTTTTCTTTCTTTCTTTCAACATTTTCCTTTGAGGCTTAGGGCAGTCCCTATCTAAATATATATGAAAGTCTTTTGGCCAGTTTGTTAAAATTATGCGAGGCACGACCCAATAAATATTCATATATATGGACATGCATATATACAGATAAAAATACATGTTTGTCTATTTATATGGTAGATAAACATTCATCTAATTTTCTATCTGGTAAATATGCTTGTCCATATTGATAGATATGTATATATATCTGTGTAAATGCACATATATATTATGAATATGTTTTGGGTCGGGCTTCGCACAATTTTAACAAACCAGCCATTTGTCCACCATAACTTGTTGTTTACTCATGGCAGTTTGTTTCCAATTAGTTAGCCTTATACCTTTGAAAGACACACACAAAAAAAGAAAAAGAAAAAAAATATAAAGAATAAAAGGACAAGTTATGCTAATGTTGTACAGAAAAGAACGCAATTTCAAAAGGCTAACCTGTTTTAACTCCCTCGACTAAGATTAGCCACTGGTGCTAAGTAAATGCTCTATCCATTGTAATTTAATTTTTTCAACATAGATGTCTCCCATGTTCAGGTTAAATTGGGATAGAGAGTTCATATTTTTTATTGTGTTATAGTTGTAATTAATGCTATTATGATTATAATTATTACTTTCATTTTATTAATGAAAGCAATAAATATGTAAATTATACTTTTCAAAAATTTGAGGAATAACTTATTTTTTGTAACAAAGCACTTGTGGAGCCATCTATGTAAACAATAAACAAACATACATGTACTTCCATTATCAATGGGTTAAATTGACGATGCCTGATGGATGACGTGCCTGTAACATAGATTAAAGTAATTGTTGTATTTATTATGCCTTTGGCACACCAGCAAAAGGCAAAACAAATCTTTAGCATATGGTTTCTGAAAGGTAAATCTCAGACTTGTTCCTGTGGGGTAGATCTGTATACAATTAGCTTGCCAGAATATTTGTTGTGGAAATTTGTCACCCTTTTTCAGAGTGGCATTAGGTGCAAAGGCTGCTCTCATTGCTCAAGTTAGTGCCACTCTGATTTCCTTCTACAAGATTGCCATATAAGATTCATGTGGAATAAATGTACTAAATACGTGTATTGCAAACAAGTTTATCAATGCCAATGATAAGTACCATGAACCATATTCATGTTAACAGGTGTCAAAAGGTATGATTGAGAATGAATTTCTTCAATATAAGAGATGTATTTGACCGGTTTCGAATGTATCTTTGTCAGAAATATATTTCTGTCTTAAGATTTATTCGAAACTGGTCAAATACATCCTCTGTATTGTGAAGATTTTCATTCTCATTCATGCATTTCTATATAAAAACCATATATATTATCTATGTATTTGTGAATTGACATGTAGTTTGTTTTTATTTTTACTTTTTGCTGATTTGTATATGTTAGGTTGGCATATAGAAAGTTTGAAAAAAATTAAGACAAAAAGAAAGAAAATTGGGGAGAAAGACTTAGAAACAGGTAGATATAGATCTACACACAGTTGCCTGTTAACATTCATAAGGGTTACAGTCCTTATCCACTCATGAATGTTAAAGATTTAGAAATTCGTGCTGTGGATGTTGCTCGAATTAGTAGGCTAGGTAACAGCCAGGGTATGGGAAGAAGTTGAATTAAGAAATCGTTGGTGTTTGGGATCTGGGATCTTATTTTCTTTTTACATTTTACTGGAACATCAAGACTATTTAGAAATATTTGAGTTGTAATGCAACTCCGAGCAGTTATTTTGGGAAATCCGGGAGGAGCTTCATGCTATTCTTATCCGTTTTTCAATTATCACTTTAGATTATTAAGTTGGATTGATTTAAAGCCTATTAAAAACAATTATATACCAAGTGTGTAGTTTTCTCAAGGTTGTCTTGGTTTATCGTTCTCTTCTCGTCATATCTGGTTACTTGATGGCATGAGAACCAAAGCATGAGGCAACATTTTTCATTTGTACAAATCTGCCGATGAGGACTGTGTATGCAGGCATACAGGTCTCTGTGGAGGTAATTCATAACAGTATGGATGCATTCCAAAATTTATTCATCAATCTTAGTTGCCGTGACTGGATGTTGTCTTCACCTCAGTATGCATGGCAAGATAGAGCTGAAACTCGGGAGCACCAAGTGTACTTTTCTCTTTATTTGTAGCAGGACCGCTCATGTCTGCAGATTATTTCATGTACAGAGGACTGCAATTTTTTGTCCTCAACAAGAATATTATATTCAATTTGCCCTAACTTAGTATGTCCATACCGTAAAGATGAAACCTCTGGGGAACACATGCATATGGACATAATTTGCATTTAGTATATATTTCTATGGGGATGAGTATATGTATTTTACATACGTAGAAAACATGAACCAGGATAAGATTAAGACATGCAGATGCTTCTTGTG